AAAAAAAAAAAAAAAAAACACCAAAATAGAAATGAGCGGGGAACCTTACCGAGTAAAGAATTCCGCGAGCCTCGTCGACAAGCACCTGCTCAACGCCGTGTTCCTCTCTCTGTTGCAGACGACGGCGGTGCGACGGTGGCGGGCCCGCGCTACGTGCCCCAGGGCACCACCGTCACGTTCACCTGCGTGGCGGACGCGCCCGGCCCCGGGGAGGCGGGCGCCCTCGCGGCCTCCATGGTGGAGTGGAGGTACAACGGCGACCTTGTCTCGACCCAGGTGAGTCTGCGTCGCATAATCCGCTATTTATTGGTCTAGAGCGCGCCGCCGCCGGCGTTGTCCTCTTAATCCTCATCCCTGTCTTGTCTTGTCCTCCTCGTTCCTGCTTTGCGCCTCACACTTTTCTTTCTTTTCATTTTTTCTTTCGCGCTGTTTACGAGAACCCTCCTCCTAAGCAGATAATATGAGGGAGAGGCGTGGTTTCGGAGGGGGAGGGGAGACTTTTCGGTTTGAGTCTGACGGGACTGTAAAGCACCTTGGCGCCGCCGCCGCCGCCGCCGCCCGTGTTCGGCGGCCTGTCGAGAAAAAAATGACAGAGGGGGGCGAGCGGCTGTCGTAAAACGAAGCAGAGCAGCGCTGAGGCGCTGACCGTGGCGTGGTCAGCTTTATTCTCTCGCGAAGCTCCCAGGATCTGCGTCTGAGAAGCCAAGTCGAGCAGATTTCATTAAATGCTGTTCTAACTCTGGTATTTGCGAGCGCAATTGGGGGAACGCCGACACTTGCACAGCTTACTTCTCTTAATTTTAAGGCACCCCCACTCTGTGAATGTCTTCTCTCGCAGTGGCTCGATGGTAGGTTGTTACGCCCAAGGTTACGCGGGATGGGTTTCACCGGTGCACTTTGTGGGCGCGCGGCAGGGCGGGCCACCGTCCCCACGCAGCTGCGTGGCGGGCTGGCCTACCCCGCGTATCGCAGGCGCTAGCATTGCCTCTGGGAACCTTCACTGAGGGGCGGCGACTGCTCTGCACAGAGTAAAAGGAAACTTTTAAAAATTCAAATCTGTTAATTTTGCTTATACATTTCTTTTTACTGAAAGTAAACTTTTGAAAAGTCAAAGTTTACTTTTACTTATACATTTGACTAAAATTAGACTTTTGTAGAAGTCAAAGTTCTTTTTTTTTTACTCCTTGTGGCCTAGAATGCGTTTGATAGCAGCTGGTCTTGTCGTTTGCCTGTCGCACAGATGGGCCGCGGAGGCGTGAGCGTGGAGACGGAGCGCGACGACCAGAAGATCCGCAGCACGCTGACGCTGGCCGCCGTGTCGGCCTCGGACGCGGGGACCTACTCGTGCGCCCCGGCTGGCGCCCGCCCCGGCACCATCCAGCTCATCGTCGTGGACGGTATGTGAATCTTTTTGTTTGTAGCCTCTGGTGAGTTATTGCGATCGTGTCGTTAGCTAATGCGCAACACCCCTGCTTTCTGTTTTCCAGGCGAGCGGATGGAGGCTATGCATCGCGGCGACGCTGGCCGCCTGTCGCCCTCTGCGCCCGTCTTGGCCCTCCTCGCCGCCGCACTCCTGGCGTCGGCTCGTGCCGCCTGAGAAGTATTGGCGATTCGCGAGATAAAAACTCACGTGTGTTGGCGACTGCCTCCCCTTCCCACTTTCGCAGCTGGACCCGACCGAAACATCAAACTTATAGTAGTGACGATGCAGTTCCTGTAATATTTTGATGTGTTAATTATTTATGAATTCTGTCTTTGTAAAAATGTGTGTAAATAATTAAGTGTCCTTGTTTGTACATATGTATAGGTATACATTATTAGATATACTTGACATTTATTTACTCATGAGCATGTAAAGTTTTGCCTAGCAGCACCTGTACCGTATGTCAGGGTCACGTCGCAACAGTATGCTGGGTTGCCTACTGGACCTACCGTAAGGCGCCATAGCCCCTCTAGGCGTATGTTAAACCCACAACACTGTCTTGTCGTAGCCCTGACACACGGTACAAATAAAAGTGCTTGACAAATGCCATTCACAGCAAAGTCTGTCTCGGTCTGTAACTTTCTGTATAAAACATGGCTGTCACACTTTAACGAGTGAGACTTTGTGTTGGAATGTTACACACTTATATTTGTAAATGCGACATATGTATTAAGTTTCCAATCATTCCGTCAGCAGTTTAGTCTTGTATTTCCATGAGATTTAGCTCTAATTTTAAATACTTTTGTGATACCATATAATTAAGTTCTAAGACGATTTTCAGAATATATCGAGGTGAACTGGCCGTGTTCAACATGCCCAGGGAATCAGTTGTATGTTTTGTAATTACTAACTTGGCAATATTCATTAGGCCTAAGCATCTGCGTTAAAAAAGAATAAAATTCAATCCGTGCAAACATTGTGCAAACACTTACTTGGTTTCGTTTTGTGAGGCTTGTAAATTATCTTCCTAAGATATGAAAAATGAAACAAACAAGAACAAAATACGTACCTCTTTTCCACTCTTAGCGCCCCCACGGTGTTGCGGACTGCAACAGAGAACCCAAGTACGCCTGATAGGTAGGCAACTCCTCTACCACACTCGAACCCGCCTGACTCGGCCACCGAGAGGTTGCGCCACCTCGCAAGGGAGAGTGAGAGAGACAGCGCCGAGCTGGCGTGCACGCGCGCGCGTCAGTAGGGAGATCAGTAGTGGAGCGCAGGGACCGGACCGGACAGTCAACTGCAGACGAAACTCTGTCGGCCTCGTTTCGGGCATGTTGTTCGCGTGTGAAACGTTTTGTGCTCAAGCTCGCCAGCAAAATGGATAACTCGCACCTAACCAAGCTCGCAAGGTATGCACGACGACTCGTCTCTGTCTCTCTCTCTCAACGGCTGTCCAAAGTTTTGGTCATTTGGCACTGATCAACTGCACTGGGCTTCGTTGACCCAGCGCATCACCGCCAACAGAGGCCTGCAGCGGGCGAGCGTAGAGGCTCGTTTGCGAAAGGTGGTGTGAGGTAGGGTAGGTAGAGGCTCTCAAAAATCTCTCGAACTGGGAGTAGCGACGGTCCAGCGGCAGCATCTACCTACCCTACCTCACCCCACCTAGCATACGGTGTCTCTCTCGCACTCGTCGCTGCCTGATACGTCTGTCTCTGTCGCACTGCTAAACGAGCCTACAGATGCTCCTTTGCCAGCCGAGCTATCGTAGGCTCCGCTCGCCACGATACGAGCCGAGCCGAGCGGAGCCTTTCGAATGAGGTGGAGCGGCGTAGCAACGAGCATCGAGGCTCGCCCGCTGCAGGCCTCTGACCGCCAACCGCCATGATGGGCTAGGCCCTCACTGTTACTCGCCTCCCGAAGCTGCCGCCAATGTCTACTGCCCCACTATACTTTGAACGCCGAGGACGCCGCCGATGGGCCAAAATCCACCGGGCCGGGCCGCCTCGCCTGTTGACGCGCCCTCCCCCTCCCCCCCTCCCTCTTCCAGACCAGCTGTTTGAAGGTGTGGAGGTGTGGAGTTACTTTGTTTATGTCGCTATTGTCACTTCCCACAACTTATGTGTTATGGTTTTACCTTCCTTATGTGTAAGTTTGAGTGTCTATGCTTGGGTGGTGTACTTGCTATGCATCATGCAACTGTGCAGCATCTACTCTGGTGAGTTTACTCATTTGTTATAATTCTGGGTCTGGTTAAAGAGTCTCAACCTTCGATAACGAGTAACTTCGTATAATGGTTTATCATTTAAAATTAATAATTATTTTTGGCAGTGTGTCTGCTTTTTTCTGTAGAGTCTAATCGAAGTAACACAGAACGGTGACGAAAGCATCATATTGATGAATTTAGGATAGAGACGAGACCTCAAAGATTACTATTTCCTGCAAAGGACTGAACTGAACAATATTAGAGCCATTATCGCTAACTCAGAGTAGGGTCGGCCCATCACAATCAGAACATGATACATAAAAAAATTTAAATGACTTGTTATGGCTGAAGTCATATTATGTTTAACAACATCCAATGAAATGGTGAGAGTATCTAAGTTACATTCCATGGTACATTACATATCAGAACTTTTAATTAATTCACTTTAGTGACTCGTGATCCTTGAAACGCCACGGAGAGATCTGATGAAAATGAATCAAAGAGCGACATGTTAGACTTGTTGTAAGAGGGAAGTTTAAATATATTTTAAGATTAAATTAAATATTGTTGTATTTAATTTGGATTCAACCAGAGGCAATCTAGTAAAAATTTCTCATTTCACTCACAAATAAATGCAATTGGTTTGAATGAAATGTGAGCATCAGAAGTCTTTGCAGAAATGTATCTTTTTAAATACTTGTTTGATAGTGGACTTCTTAATCTATTGTGTTGCATAGTAATTTCTCAAGTTCACTTCTCTTTACAAGTACCTGTTGTGGTGGGAAGGGGGGATCAAAGGGATTTGGAGGTGATTACAGGTCGCTGGTTCGAATACAGTCCGCAAAATAAAAAGGTAGAAATTGCGTTGATAGAAGCGATTGGCTAACCTAATCAAACGCAACCTTTTCTCATCTAACCCAACCGCTCTAATATGAAAAGTTCGTTCCAGTACAAGGTACAAGTGCTACTCCCATCTAGATAAAAACAATCCAAATTACGAGAGCTGACGGAGCGTGGGGGGGGGGGGAGAGGCGGGCGATCCCAATCCCTGACTAGCCACCATCCCGCGCCATTAAACGCTCGTCACCCGGCGTTCCTCTCTTTCTCTCTCTCTCGCCGTTTAAATTTGTTAGCCCACATGAAGTGCCTGCTCTTCCCCTTACCCTCAGCCCGCGACGCCAAAGTGATCGCCCTACCCCCGCTGCTGCTCCGCCCCGGCGCTCCGGCCGGTTCACCTTTGGGGCTGCGCGGTGCCCGCAGCGGTGCCCGCAGCGGTGCCCGCCCAGCTAGGCCGACCTAGGCCAGCCCGGGCACTGATCAATGGGGCCGCGGGTCCAGCGCCAGTAGCAGGCGAGTCACGTTCTACAACTTAACCTCCGCCCGCAGAAAAATGTCGGGCGGGGGCGGGAGCAGCGGTGGTGGGCCGGGCCGGGGGGTATGGCCTGCCTGGAGTAAAGCCCCCGGAGGCGGAGGCGGAGGTGGAGGAGGGGGTGGGGGCACATGAGAACAGGTCGCACGGGCGGACGAAGAGCACATCGTTTGTACGATCCGGTGAAGTGAAGGCGTACCGGAGGCGTATAAGGCCTGCCGAGGAAGAAAAAAGCACTAAAATCGCGGACTCCGATTACAAAATACCTAGGATAGGAATTTTGACGGACACTCGTGTTTTCTGCGTCTGAACACGAAGTAGGTCCACACTTTTTGCTGGCTGATCAAAACTTGCCGCCATGACACGCCTCCGACCACGTTCGCCGTAGCGCTCCCTAACCTCGGCCGCGGCCGCGCTAGTAGTGCCGTTCGGGTGCGCGGCGAGTGCGTGCCGAGCGCTCCCCGAGCTAATAACCTCCCCGCCGTGTACTCCCGCGGGGCCCGCGGCCGCCGTCTTCCTGAACGCGCTCATCACGCCACGCCCAGCTCCCCGGCGACTCAGATTCAGACTGCTGGCGTACCGCCCGGTCTATGGTGCTTGTGCTTGCCCGTTCTCTAATGCTGGCTAGAGATGTTAAAATGCAAAATTAAAGGGAACTTTTTTTAATTTTTTTGTTGTTGTAAAAATCAAAACATTTTTGGAAAAATTGGCAAAAAAAAGTTTCAAAAAACACACAGTCGAGGGCCCGCTCTGTGCTTTACAGAGAGTAAGGGGGCGGGGAGGGGGGAGGGACTTCACCATCTGGTAGAGACAGTTTTTAGGGGATTGTCTAAAAAATTGACTTGAACTTTTTAAAAATGCACTGGAAAACAATGGTGCTATATAGCACCTTTCTAAGGGTGCTATTGAATTTTTAGTGGTGCTAATGCACTAGTGCCTTTGTTTGTAGAGGCAAGATTTGTGCCAAAAATAGCACCTTTGGGGGGCAGTAGCACCTTTCTAGAGGCACTATTTTACTAACGCCTTTACAAGGCATTAGATAGCACCTTTTTAGCCTGCCCTTCTGCTCTGAAAAAGCTATCCAGCGGGCTTATGCAAACGACCTCCTGTGTGTCCGTGTGTCTGTCTGTCTGTGTGTCTGTCTGTTCCACTAGAAGGAGATGTGCTAGTTTTTACAGTGTGTTTATTGAGGAAATTTGAAATGATTCCCTCCGGTCCCGGCAGGAGAGGCTTCTCTCCTCAAACGCTTCAGATACCAAAACTAAAACGGAACAAGTTTCTGGTGCCTGCTGGCCTGCTGCTGGTTGTTCAAAATCATTTCTCCATGATTTCTCCTCAGACTATAGCCTAAACATACCCCCCCCCCTTCCCGCTGGTGGTCTTTTTAATTGGCAAACAACGGACTAGCACCTTTCCTTCACTCGCCTTTGGCCTGACTGGCGTTTACTGCAGACGGCACGGCGGAGAGCGCGGGTGCGAACAGCAACAGACTCTCCGGCGTCTCTCCGTCTTACGCCCTCGGCGGCCTCGGCCCGCGGCGCGGTGGTGCTGCTGCCGGTTTATAAATCACTCCCAGCCGCACCGCCGCGACCGCCGCTCTGTTCGGGTGTCAGCACGAGGTTTGAGCTTTTTAGGCGTCCGGGGAGGGGCGGGGCGGAGTATGGCGGAGGGAGGGAGAGCGCCCGCCGCCCCTGGTTGCAGGCTGATTGTGAAAGAGGGAAGGAACGCGTCGCGTTGCTCGCCTCGGCCCGGCCCCGCTCGGCCAGAGAGACTCCCGCGGCTACATAAATCTCAAAAACCTCACAATCGAGAAATAAAGCGGGCGCGCGCGCCAGAGTTGTCGCTTGTAACGCCCCTACTCTGTCTCCTCCTTTGCGCTTTCTTCCCTCGTTCGCGCCCCTTCTTCTTCTTCTTCTTCTTCTTCTTCTTCTTCTTTTTCTTCTTCTTCTTCTTCTTCTTCTTCTTCTTCTTCTTCTTCTTCCAGTAGCGAGGTGGTCGTAGGCGAATGGCACTGGTCCGATTTCTACGGAAATGGACAGCGCGTGCGAGAGAGGGTGAGAGAGTCGTGAGAGTTGGGACGGATAGAAGAGAGAGGGAAGATAAAAAGGGAGAGGAAGTCGGATAGGAGGGGACCGGTGGCCGCGCTGGGCGGAGAGATCCCGAGCAGGACGCCCAGCCGCTGATGTAGAAAAGGGTTGGGTGGTTAAGGGTAAAAGGCCGCTCACTCGGAGGAGGGGGGGGGGGTGTCCGGGAGACGGGCGTGGCGAAGGGAGGGGGTGCGGGGCCTTGCCACTCATCGGCACGCCAAAAGCATCAGAGGTGAGGAATTCCTTTCACTCGGTCTCCCTTCACAGCCTCCGGCCCCGCCGCCCCCCGCACCGCACCGCCCCACCCCTCCACGCCCCAACCTGCCCCGACTCAAGCCCCCCGACCCGAACCGACTCGACTCGCGCGAGCGCAGTTATACGAGTAGCCTTCCCTTTTCCCTTTTACCACCACGTCTCTGTTTGTCATGCAAATTCGAAAATAAAGGACTGGCGGGGGGCTGGGCGCCCCTCCCTGCTAGGGCGTGGAGCGGCGGCGGCGCGGCGCAACCTAGAAGGGGTCTAGCGCGCGCGGGAGAGCGAGAGTCAGGAGGGGGGGGGGGGACCTAGGCTGGCTAGGTGCTGCGCCCCCGGTGCGCCCCGAGCCGCGCGCGCGAGGTTCAAAGGAAGGGCCCCGGCCTGGCGCCATGTCACGCTGAATGGATGAGGGATGTTGCGCCCCGCCCCGCCCCGCTCCGCCCCGCTACCCAGGCAGCACCCAGTGCGTGGCGGGCGGCCGATGGAAAAGGGGTCGGGTGCGCGGCGCGCGCGGGTTGTGTTTTGAGAAGGAGGGCTCCGGAAGAGCGCGGAGGGGTAGGTGGGGTTGTAGGGCTGGCTTCCGCTGCTCGCTGCAGACTTGTTGTAGACCCCCCGGCGGCGGCGCGGGGCGCGGGACGGGCACGGCGGGGAATCCGCGTTCCTCACTCACTACTTCTTGAGGCATCAGAGGATGAGGTAGTTGTTGCTTACCTTTCCGCGCGCCGAGCGGGGCGGACTGCTTTACTTGTTGAGGTTGGGGTCGGGCC